GCGTGCTTTACACCACCGCATCCGACGCTTTGCATTGCACTTGGTGATGTATGGCTTGGATGCAGCTGCTCGACCATGGAAACCCATTCCATGAAGCTCTCTGCGCACTGTTCTTGAGCTAATCTGAAGGCCACATGAAGTTTGGAGGTCTGTAGTGATTGACTCTGCAGAAAGTTGGCGACCTCTTCGCACTATGCGCGTCAGCATCCGCTGACCCCGCTCCGTCAGTTTACGTGGCCTACCACTTCGTGGCTGAGTTGCTGTCGTTCCCAAACACTTCCATTTTCTTATAATACAGCTGACAGTTGACTGTGGAATATTTAGGAGCGAGGAAATTTCACGACTGGATTTGTTGCACAGGTGGCATCCTATCACAGTTCCACGCTGGAATTCACTGAGCTCCTGAGAGCGACCCATTCTTTCACAAATGTTTGTAAAAACAGTCTGCATGCCTAGGTGCTTGAATTTATACACCTGTGGCCATGGAAGTGATTGGAACACCTGATTCCAATAATTTGGATGGGTGAGCAAATACTTTTGGCAATATAGTGTATCTCCTGTCTCTCTCAGCTCGTTGAGCTCTGGATTGCTCACCCGCCTGTCTCCGTGCTGTTAGGACTGGCCTCTGAATCCCTGCTGCTGAGATTCTGCTCTGGCGTTCCTCTCAAGCCCCCTCGGTACTACTGAGTCGGACAAGAGACCCTTCCCTGGATTCAAAGTGGTTCCTTCAGCTGCTCCTCAAACCTGCCTCCGCTGCAGTGCTGCTCGGGCCCCCGCCTAAGTCCCACCTGTCACTCAGCCTCCTCTTCCATCGGAAAGCTGAGAGTTACAGAACCCATTCCTCCATTCACCCTCCCTGGATAGGTTATCTGTACCTCTTTCTTCCCGCAGAACTCTGATGTTCCTCGTCTGTGGCTCCTGTCATGAACTGACCTTATTTCTGTGTAGTCAAATAAACATCTTAAACAGCTCCTGTTGTCCCCTTCAACCATGACATTAACTAGTGGCAATTCTATTAAGATAATTAATGGCATGTAAATACACTGTAAAATGTAAAAACATGAACATGAAGTAAAACACATTGTGAAGTTACATTTTCCCATCCAGGTTTAACCCATAAGAGGTGGTTAGAGTAGCTAAATTGTAGTTAAGTAAGAGCAGCAATACAACCACATAAAAAAGAAGGCTATCTATGGTAACTTCTAATAAATGAACCCCACTAATACTGATGCCGAGTTTGCATTTTATGTAAGGTGTTACATCCAAACCATACAGATAATGCACTCTGAGAGAACTGTTAATACATCTTGGCAACAGAACATCCAGTCTTCTATAGTTTTGAGATCTACATTCTGTGCTGGATAATACACATTACTACATTCTATAGTCATTGGGCGCCACCTATTCGTAACAATTATGTTGCACAGGGAAAAATATGATTTATGTTTTTCTTTCATTTAAGTGTTAGTTTTATGCTTTGCATGTTTGGAGGGGAAGATATGATTTGTTTTTCTTTGTATTTTCTTCTTGAGTTTTGCATGTTTTGATGTTTGTTTATATGATTGTGTTTTCTTTTATTTAGACTTTTGAAATTTTCCTGCATGTTGGGTTGTTTTGGTTTGTTTTTCCCTTGTGACAATCCATGCGCACTGGACTGAAGTGGTTGTCTGGGGAGGCGGAGTGCATTAATTGCTCTGCGTAATTGCTGCGCTCAGGTGTGAGCAGGGGCTGATTAAAGCCAACATAAAAGGAGTCTGAATGAAAGGAGGATGGAACGGAAGTTGTGTTCATACTAGGGATGCATGATATATATTTTTGAGCCCTTTATAAAATAATGCGCTAAATGCAGGCATCTGTCTATAACTATAAATACCACAAATGTATTGCGTTTCTCTTGTGTTCTCAACAATAGTAAAGCTTTCAATAAATATATGTTTGAGCTCATTTTTGAAGAATACAAACCCTATTGAAAGCGTTCGGGTTGAGTAGCTCTCACGTCAAACAATGGACCTGTCCTGTTAAAGGTAAAGACTTACCTGCAACAAAGCTGGCCCAAGGTGATTGATCGTTAGTGAGGATTTGAGGCCTTATGCAAAAAGAAAGACTGAGTTGAGCTTACAAGATGGGTGCATCTTCTGGGGGCCTAGGGTATAACTGCACTATCTGGTAATGATCTTCTAAAATTTAACCTTCTTTTTCCTTTTTTGCTACACCATCTACATTCTTGATCACTGCTGCACTTTACAAATGGTAATGTTCATTTCACTGGTGACGTAGACAACTTTATTTTTATTTTGTATACACAGAGTGTACACAAAATGAAATTTCGTTTTTTACAGCTTTTAGACAGTGAAGGAGCAGCAGCTTAGCAGCGAAATTAACATTTTAATTCGTTAAAGTGCAGCAGTGATTGAACGTAAACAGTGGGGGAGAAAAAACATGTTGCAAAAATGTATTGATGTGGAAGTTCAGAGAAGTGCAAAAACAAATATGCAGTAGAAAATTATTTGAGTTGAGTTCATTTTGGTTTGATGTTATCAGTGTGATGCAGTCTCATTGTGTGTGACTTGGTTTAGAGTTTTTTCTCAAAGTTCAGCAGTTGTAAGCTGCTTATTCACTGCTGAAACGCTGTATGTTTTGAAATTTACACAGAGTGTATGTATGTTATAAAACGGGAAAGATGGACCCAGTATTCAAGGTGAGACAGTCAGTAGGTAAGTTCAAAACGTTTATTAAAAACAGAACAGAACAGAAACACGCTGCTGTCGATCTGCGGCTCACGGCTGCTGCAGGAATGGGGCAGGGCTTTGCCCAATCACTGACACTCTGGTTTAAGGAGAAACACAGGTAAGTGACCGTGATCAGCTGAACAGGAGATGATTATCAGAGTGAGTCACCTACCTAGTTTAACAGTTCAGTCCATCCTCTCAATATAGGCATGATCAGCCGATACACGGCCAACCAGTTGTTGCCCTGAGCCGTCCAGAACGTCCCTGATGCAGCAGCTCCAGTGAGCAGGCCAGGACAGTGATTAGGATCAGACTTGAATGGTTCTTGAATCCAGGTGTCCACAGTCCGGTTAGGGGTTCAGATCCACATAGGAACAGACATATTAGGATTCCAGGAATCCATCACAGCGTGAAGGCAGGTTCAGAGCAGCAGCTTAAACTAACTATAGAGATAGCTCAGGATAAGCTAAGCCACTCTAACTATAAGCTTTATCAAAAAGGAAAGTTTTAAGCCTAGCCTTAAAAGTAGACAGGGTGTCTGCCTCACGGACTAAAACTGGTAGTTGGTTCCACAGGAGAGGAGCCTGATAACTAAAAGATCTGCCTCCCATTCTACTTTTAGAAATTCTAGGAACCACAAGTAAACCTGCAGATTGAGAGCGAAGTGCTCTGTTAGGAACATAAGGAACAATCAGATCTCTGATATCAGATGGAGCTTGGCCATTTAAGGCTTTATATGTGAGAAGGAGGATTTTAAATTTTAGAAGAAGAACTCGCCTGAGGAAACTGGCCTGGAAATAAACTCCTCACCGGAACATGAACCATGGAAATAAATCTAAAACTGACAGACAGGACATTAAGAGAAGGCAAACAGGGAACAAACATCAAACAATGATATTGCCATAATAGCTGGACTGGACTGAGTATAAAGCAGAACCTACAGGTGGATGAGATCAGAAATGATTAGGAACTAGGCAGAATAGGCAGGTGAATAGGCAGAATAGGCAGGTGCACCACTGCACCACTTAGGAGCCCCACATATCTAACAGTCAGAGATAAAATGTTACAGGAAACTAAGTATTACACAGCTATGGGTTACTAATAATGTGGCCGGATACCAGTATTGGACGGGCCCCCAATCCAGCAGTAAAATTGTTCTATCGCTATCAATACTAACAAATAGGCACCAATACCATGTTGAGAGCCAAATGTTCATTCAACTATTGTCACCCATTCCAGGTAGGCAATACAAAGTTCTACTGGATTCAATTTGTTTTAGTCTTTTTCCTGCTTCACAAAGGTAGGCAGCAGCTTGACAAAGCCATGATGGCAATTATTTTACATCCAAGTAGTATGCCGTTCTTTATATATACATGCACACATCAATTTAAAACTGTTGGTATTGGTATTGGCCAATAGTGCACAGCCAGGTATCGGGTATCGGTATTGAGACCAAAAAAAATGCCATTGGCGCAAGAGTAGCTGCTAATAAACAAAAAAATAAAATGATAAGGATAAGGTGAATATAATAATTTAACATTTTTTTCATGTGATATACAATTTTAAATCAAAAAAGAATTTAGAATTAGGTTAAATTATGATATGAGAATATATATATAAAAAGCCAAACTGTTTTCCTAATTAGATTTTGTGACCATAATATGAATAAAACCAATACTTAGTACATAAGCTAGAAAAGGGTGAGATAATTCAAGTTATAATATGCTAACAATGTTTGCTTTAACTCTTAATGATAAGGTGCTAGGATTAATATTATACAATGAATTTGGTGTATAAAAAGTTTTACAAAAGTGATAATTTAGACAAAAATTTTAGAGACCTGTTGATGCATTTTTTTGTTTATAACAAGATTATTCTCCATTACAGAGTAGTTAATAATGTGGGAGCAAATGAGCAGAAATGTTACTCCACTGTTTGTTTCTTATTACTGTAACCCAGGTTGAGCTCTGTGCTGGGTCATCCTCTGCTGGCTTGGTTTCCGAAAATATAGAAGAGAGGGAATTAAATTAAACTCTAATTTGATGCAGGTCAATAGGCTTTCTATAAAGAAAAAACAGTTTTTAGTTGGATGACCATGACAATTGTCTACTTTAACACGAAACACTCGAGTTTTGATATAAACTTATATAACAAGGCCAATTGTCAGTCACATATTGTAAATAACTGCTATTTGGATTTTAATGTAGCGATAGGTTGCAGCCAGCGGAGCGAACCGCATCACACTGTAGCTTGACTGATCTTCGAACGCCTCCGCCGCGGTAGTTAGATCCTTTTCCTTCGCGGTTTTAAAGAAAATGCATCTCCTCTCAGAGGAAATTGTGATCTTGTGAAAACCTACACCTGTATTATACAGTCGCTATCAGACCATAAATGTACGTACACAAACGTAGGGAGATATAGAAAAGGGGACAGCGAAACGGTGGAAGGTGGTGTGGTTAGTAAAGGCCCAGCAGCCCCATTCATCCTGCTGCAGCTGACGTTTCATATTGAGGCACATAGCATTTAGATCAAATTTAATCTCAGAAATGCCTGGGATGATGGATAAAAGCTCAGATTATTTGGGGAAGGGACGGTCAAATGGGACTAAAAGTCCGTCCAGTGCCTCTAACGGACATTTTTCTGACGAGAGCGGCAGCGACGACGAACACGGTGAGTGATAGCCTCGAACACTGTCCGCTCTTTGGTAACTGAACTCTCTCAGAATTAGTCGGTATATCGGTTACAGTGTGGATTTTATTTTATTCTGTTTTGCAGATATTGGAATGCGGGTTGGAACTGATTATCAAGCTAACATTCCAGAATTTGAGCCCGGTGAGATTTGAACTGCTTTGGCCGAGTGATAACGAGTGATAGCCTCGGCCCATGTCCAGGGAACGCATTAATGAAAGCCTACTGCACATTTCACCCAGTGCTCTAATACAACTGACTGATCACAATAAAGACGAACGCAATGACTGAGGCTACCGTTGCCTCTCCGCTCAAATCTATGCTTATGATGGTTATAACTACACAAATATGTTTGTAGTAACTTTGTTATAGACAAAGTCATTATCATCGATAAAACCACATTTGATACTAATGATGTCCTATTGTTGAGAGAAAATCCTCTCTCTTTAAAACTATAAAGCTGAAATCTGTGTAGTGATGGATTGGTGATATATTTCTGCATTAAATCTTTAAATATAAATGTAAATTTAGGTATATTTATTTTCTTCTCGTAGTTTTTTAATTGTAACCAAAATAGCTTTACGTTATCGCTGACGTTTTATCTGATTTGTAACAATATATAATATTCTTAAAGTTAGATTTTTTTTTCCTGGGAAGAAAGGGTATTCCCTCACTTTAAGATGAGAAATAAAAGAAAGATGGGCCTTGCTGTTATGAATGCCTGAGCTGTATAGATGTAGATTTCAGTGTTTCTGTTTCCCCAAATGGTGTTAAATGAATATGTAACTGAAGTATAAAATCTGTTTCTGAGCCATGAATGATCACAAGTACTTAATGGAGCAGCTGCCATGAAAGTTTTTTAATTGTTCTTTTGTGTTTTTTCCACATTCAGATTCTGTCAAGTATACGGAAAAAGACAGTGGGGGAATGTTGGTATGGTCTCCATATCACTTCATTATTGATTCTAAATGTAAGTGATGCAACCGATGATGCTCCTGAGGCACGAAACTAGGCGAGACTAACAGTATGCCTTTACATTCACAGTGGACGAATATATTTCTATTGCCAAGGAGAAACATGGCTACAATGTGGAGCAGGTGTGTTTTTTTCTTTCTTCTTTCATCTGATAAAGTGTTTTCTATTCAATTCAATTGAATTCAGTTTATTTATATAGCGTCAAATTCACAACACATGTCATCTTAAGGCACTTTACAGTTCAACCAGATCATACAGTCAAATTGATACAAAGTTTTCTATCTAAGGAAAACCAGTTGATTGCATTGACTCGTTGACTCAAATACAATCCCTCACACTAAGCATGCTTGTAGCGACAGTGGAGAGGAAAAACTCACTTTTTAACAGGAAGAAACCTCCAGCAGAACCAGGCTCAGTGTGAGCGGCCATCTGCTGAGGCCGACTGGGGTTCAAGGAGACAGAAGCAGAGACAAAAAAAGCAGCTGTAAAAGGCGGCCCCGTCCAGGAAACACACAGCCAGGCAGACGAGCTCCGAGCCAGCTCCCATGTCAGAGGACGAAGAGAGCACATCCAGCCAGTCACGGTCAGAGAAACAGGACCACACTGGAAAACAGCCCGATCTTCTCTGCAATGGAAGTTGAAAGACATGGTTTGAGGGGTTTGCTTTTTTACTTATAGCAAATCTGAAGAACTGCCTAAACTTTACGTAGTCGAGGATTGAGTCTAAATATTCCGGGCTGACAAGTAAATTTATTCTAAAACAGTTTCTTTTTGAATTTTTTTTATATAGCAAACAGTCTCTGTAAATCCTATCCAATCCAAGTCTGCTTTGGTAGATCCATTATGTAAGCTGGATAAATACAACAAGCCATTTTGTACTTTTTTATTTTTCTTACAGCAAAATACAAACTCTGGTTCTTTTTGTTGAGCAGGTACATTTTAAACATTTGAAATTAGATATTGTTCATCTTTTGTTTAATGAGGCAAAGAATCAAAGATGGAGCAGAAGCTGAGCACAGAGAGACGGAGGTCTACTTGGTGGCATGGTGTGGAAACAATCCTCTGATCCTGGATGTCAACAGAACAAGGAGATGATTGGAGGTTTAAGAATAATCAGGAACAAGTTGAATCCTGTTAAAATCTTGGGAGAAGAAGTGGAGGAGGAATAGAAATACTCTGGTGTTCACCTGGACAACAAACTAGACTAGAGACACAACTGTGAAGCCATCTACAAGAAGAGACAGAGCAGATTGTACTTTTTAACGGGGGTAAATGGCTCTGCCAAAAATCAATAAGGAAATTATTTTTATTAAGCAATATTGTAACTGGGATTATGGTTGGATTTTCCTTTGCACCAAAAACACTAATAACAAAGATGTAACCAGATCTCAGAACAAAATGATCCAGTAATTTGAGGCAGACAAAGTAGTTAGATTTCTCAGAATGTTTGATTAACAACAGAATCGGCAGGAACCTCTGCAGGTGGAGACAGCAGGTTTGTGACCATGTCTTTCTGGAAGTGGATGATCACAAACGAGGGAGTCACCTGGTCTTATAGTTCAGTCTGAGTCCAGAGGAGGAGGATTGTTGTTGTCTGATGGCGGTTGGGAAGAAGTTGCAGAATCTGCTTGTCCTGCATTGAATGCTGCGAAGCCTCTTCCCAGAGGGCAGCAGGGAGAACAGTCCATGATGGGGGGGTGAGGGGTCAATGATGATGTCACGGGCTCTGGACATGCAGTGCTGGGATGAAATATCTTTAATAGAGGGAAGAGGAGCCCCCATGATCCTCTCTGCTGTTCTCACCTTCTTCCAGTCTGAGGCGCTGCAGCCTCCACACCACACAGTGAGACAGCTGCTCAAGAACGCTCTCTATGGTGCTTCTGGAGAAGGTGGGGAGGATGGGTGGAGGCAGGTGGGCTCTCCTCAACCTCCTCAGGAGGTCCAAGCGCTTCTGTGCCTTTTTGATCAATGAGGTGGTGTTTCCAGTCCAGTGAAGGTTGTCTGTGATGTGCACCCCCAGGAATTTGGTGCTGCTGACCACCTCTACAGCTGAGCTGTTGATGAGCAGTGGAGCGCGAATAGGACGGTTCTTCCTGAAGTCCACCATGATCTCCTTCATCTTCTCCACGTTCAGGATCAGGCTGTTATCTCTGCTCCACCAGCTGCTCCACCTCCTCTCTGTAGTCCAGGTCGTTGTTTTCTCTGATGAGGCCCACCACCGTGGTGTCGTCTGCAAACTTCACCATGTGATTGGTGGTGAACCTGGGGACGCAGTCATGTGTCATCAGGGTGAACAGCAGGGGGCTCAGGACGCAGCCCTGAGGGGAGGGGCTTAGACTGATGACATCAGAGGTGTTCTGTCCGACCCAGGCTGACTGAGGTCTGTTGGTGAGGAAGTCTAGCAGCCAATAGCAGAGGGGTGTATTGAAGCCCAGCTGTTCCAGTTTACCCATCAGATGCTGTGGGATGATGGTGTTGAAAGCTGAACTGAAGTCCAGGAACAGCATCCGCACCTGGGTGTTCTTCTCCTCCAGGTGTGCCAGGCTCAGGTGGAGAGCAGCAGAGATGGCGTACTCGGTGGAGCGGTTCCATCAGTTGGCGGCAGACTGGAGACGATATGTTCTTTAACCAGCCTTTTGAAGCACGTCCTCATGACCTGAGGCTTCTTTGGGACTGGAATAATGGTGGCAGACTTGAAGCATGGTGGTACTATGGATTGATCCAACGAGGTGTTAAAAATGTCTGTGAGGACACCAGCCAGCTGATCTGCACATTCTTTATATACCCGCCCAGGTATGTTATGAGGCCCTTCCTTGGGTTGACTAAACCAGGAAAAAAGACAGTGTGATTGACTGTAAGGAGAGCAGAGACAGGGCACTCTGAATTTACCTAACCTGCTAATCAGATTAGCTCTGGGGAGAATGTTAATAAGGTGACTGAAACAGAGGTTGAGTAAACTCTCTTTGTAAACTCGGTTTTCCTGATATCAGGTTTAAAAAATCATACCGTAGTTTTCCTTAGCAGATGACACTGAGCCTGGTTCTGCTTGAGGGTTCTACCTGTTCAAAATTAGTTTTCCTCTCAACTGACGCTACATGCATGCTCAGAGCGAGGTATTGCAAGTCAATTAATCTTTGATATCAACTGGTTTTCCTTAGATAAAAATATTTTAGAGAATATGATTGTGTTACCTGTATGAATAAATTGAGTATTGCAACTTTTCTGAGTGTGAGTCTCTCCAGGTTGAAATAATAAATCACAATAAAATAATAACGATAATAATCAACAAGATAGCTTTATGCTTTTTAACCTGCCTGGCTAGATTTAAACTCATACTTTTGGCCTGTGTCGTCATCAATTTAAATTTTTACATAAAATAATCTTAAAAATAGTTTATATGAGTTTTATGGTTATCTCCAATGTAATTCTCTGCATTATGTAAAAGCAGTGCCAACAGGTAGACAATAGGTTCCAGTCTTGTTGCTGTGTTTGTTAATGACAGTAGGATGTGAAGGTCAAACTTTGCTGCAGGTTTTTACTGGGAACATGCTGCCGATCTGCTAACACTACCATGTATATGTTTGTGAATTTTATTTAGGCTCTTGGTATGCTGTTCTGGCACAAACACAACATAGAGAAGTCCTTGGCTGACCTGCCCAATTTCACCCCTTTCCCAGACGAGTGGACCATTGAGGACAAGGTCCTGTTTGAACAGGCATTTAGCTTCCATGGCAAGAGCTTCCATCGCATCCAGCAGATGGTAAACACCTAACTTTTTTGTTTTTGTTTTGTATTTGTGCATTCCTGAGGTGTTTGTGTTTACATCTCAGGTTCAATATAACCCAACCACTCGGCCCTGAGTGGTTTTGATGTCACATTAAGTCCCCCACCGAATAGCAATCTTGTTTCTAAACAAAGCCCAAAATGTTGAACTTTTTTTAGTATCAGGTGATCCTGAAGAAAACAACCATCAACTCAACTGAAAGCCAACAGCACTCTAAAAGCGCCTAAAACTAATATTGTGTCAATAAATGAGAATTCATAATTTTCATTTATTACCTTGTTTTCATCTTCTGGCATTCCAAAACATGCTCTATCCTGGCATACCTGGGCTCACTTGCTTTACAACACTCCCCAAAAAAGGAATATCTAGTAACCACAAAAAATAAAAAATCACATCGCAATAATCCCCCAAAGCCCATTTTTCCCCCCCACGGAAACGTAAAAATATAAGGATAAAAACAAAATTATTCACCAATAAGCTTGCTCCCAAAATACAGCGTCAAATCCCTTTCCAGTATCCTCAAGGAAACACAAGCAGTGCCGTCCTCTGTAGTCTTTGTGTAGCCGAAACTCCAAACATTAGTGACTGATCAAACTTTGATTGTCATAGAAACTTTGATAGCTAATGAAATAAACTTTGCAATGACATATAGGAGGTGCAGTAGATAGATAGATAACTGAATTCTCTGCAGGAGAGCAACACAGGTTAGTGACCATGATAATCTGACTGTGGATGATTATCCATGTGAGTCACTAACCTGGTTCAGTCCATGCCCAGAGAACGAGTTAAAATCCAGCCAGTGGGCTTCCTACAAGATGCAGCGGGCATCAACCAGAGTGTCTCAGATGCTGCAACCCCTGAGAACATAAGGCAGTCCAAAGCCAGGACAGACAAATATATCAGAACAGGAACAGGCAGGATCAGAGGTCCAGGAGTCCTAAGACAGTTGAGGCAAACCATTCAGAGAGAACAAGAATAATCAGGCTCTGATGACCGGATTCAAACACTTTAAATAGAGGCAGGAGCAGGTGGATCAGATGAGCTGTGATTAGAAAATGTCCTAGGATAATAAATTGCCCTAGGAGTGCATATTTTTTTTACTCTTACTCCACCCTTTCACTTACTTACAGGGTCTGAGCAGCAGCAGCACAGGAGGGCCAAATGAACAGGCAGAGCAGGAGGGGGAGGGGAATGACATCACAAACACTAGTTGACAGGCCAGAAACATAACAGACAGAATATTATTTTTGAAGCTGCTGGCGCCTGTCCTGCAAACAGGAAGCCTGGGTTCATTTCCCAGCTGGGGGGAATGAGCTGCCAGTGTGGGTCTCTTGCAAAGACGCCTTACGCTAATGCCTGCTTTGGGGAGTGGCGGCCTGGTCAATCCTGAGGTTCTGAGTTCAAGCCCGTCCCCTATGGACGGCCACTCTGGGTCACTGACCCTTAACTCCACACTGCTCCCCGGGCGCCACACAATGGTAGCCCTCTGCTCCCCAAGGGGATGGTTTAAATGCAGAGAATACATTTTGTTGCTCTGTACTTGTGAAAAAATAGCATTAAAAAAAAACTTCTTTTGTGCAAATCTTACAGAATATTTTCATTTAATTGAAGGTTTTTTTATACTGTTGAAAGAATTCTGAAGTATTTTGTCTGGAGTGTTTCATTTTTTAAATTAAACTAAAATAAAATCGTAGCCTCCTCTCTGGGTCCACATCATCCGATCAGAGAAGCTGATCTGGGAGCTGGCAGGGAGACAGACACAGCACTGCTGATGCAGGGCACTAGGATCTCTCCTCTAAAACTGTTTATTAACGCCTAAATTAACTTAGAATGTAGAAACCTACCGGCAAAATATGTTCGCTTTTGTTATCCTGGTGCCTCCACATTGGATTACGTATGTGGAAAACGCTAACGTCTACTTCCAGCCACCACCAACAGTAGGAGAACCCCCCAAGAGGCGACCGGGCCTGATGCAGCTGCTGCTGGGGATTCCCACTGACAGCGCACCGCCGGTATGTGGGGGTCTGAGCGGCTCCCACAGAAATAATATTTGTAGGCAGGATGGTAATCTGGATGAACTGACTGCAGGTGGACTTTCTCACTTCAAAATAGATTCAAACTTTTTACCCACGGATCACAGCAAATACGCTCTCTGCAGCAGAAGCATCAGACACACTTTATGGACGTCTGATCTTAATGTGAACAATCATCAGAACTGAAGCAGCAGAAGCTTTTCTGATGCTTCAAATCATGTTATATCAGTCTCAGTCTAGGTTAAATTCTCATTTGTTACTCAACAGAAGGGTTTTTCTTGGCATTACATGTTGAATCTTTTTATCTTTCATTCAGTTACCAGACAAATCTATCTCCAGTCTTGTCAAGTACTATTATTCCTGGAAGAAGACACGCTCCAGAACAAGCCTTATGGATCGTCAGGCCCGTAAACTGGCTAACAGAAGCAATCAGGATGACAGGTACAACTCTCAAATCATTTCTTGATAGAGCTGATCATTTTATTTTTAAGTGAAAATAAGTTGTAAATTGATCAACAATTCTTTTTCATCTAAAATTGCACTGTTCCTCTTTGATTAGCTTGATAACAATAACCCCCACTGCTAAACATTTCCAGGTTCCATCTAAGAAACAGAAATCTGATCTTACTATAGAAAAAAACATTTTCCATAGTCTAAAATAAAACGTTTTTTGGACACTTAGCTAAATTACTATTTAACCATAAAATAACTTTTTTGTTGTCATATTTTGTTTTTATTTATTTTTTGCTCTCTCACTGTATAAATAGATGTATTTTAGTACTCTCCACATGTAACATGCATTTTATTTGACAATTTACAGCTTATATATTTAAATCCTGTTTTTATGTTTAAAACTGCATGTTTGGCTCCCTCCTGGTTAAAAAAGGGTTAGCACAGTAGGCAGTGGTGGTTCTTTTAAGGACTGACAATAAATGACATTATTTTCTTTTGTCCCAATTTTGTAATTCAAATTTTGGCACAGATTAGGGTCATGGGCTCATTAGTCTCAGTTGAGACTCCCAGACCTCCCTCTTCTCTTGGAATAGCTTCAGAGCCAACGGAGAGACATTGTCCCCCCATGGTGTCCCGTTCCGTCTCTTAGACCTCCCTCCAGTGGCATGTGACTGAAATTGTCGGAGGTATTAGGGCCATCTGGAATGGATGTCCTGGCCATGTCAGCTGACTCCTGTTGATGTGGCTCTACTCTAAGCCTCTCTCTGTCATGGTCTTGGCGTTGATGGTTGGCTTTTTTAATTGCTGATGTTCACCTGTCTCATTGGCCTAGTGGCTGATTAACAAGGATGGTTTCCACCTGGTTCCTCAACTATTTATGTTGTTTGCCTGCCTTCCATTAGTGCCAGATTATTTCAGCTGTTGTGAGTGTAACTCTAGCGTTCAGAAGAGTTTGTCTGTTATTCTGATCCTGACCTGTTTTCTGCTTTGGATATTCGTGTTTTTGCCTCGCCCTTGTCTGCTCTGTCTGCTTTGTTTTTTTTTATTGTTTTTCCTGGATTCTGCTGGTTATCGATCTTGGAGTGCTTCACTGACCTCGGCTTGGATTCCCCTCACGGACGCTGTTGCTCCCTTAGCGTCAGCTGGCGTTCAGTTCATCATTGTTCGGCATTCTGGTAGCGGCCCTGGTTGCAAACTGTGGATAACCTCTCTCCCAGATTCCTCCGTTTCCTGTGGGATCAAATTGTACTTTGAATCAGAGAATCCAGTGTTCCGCCCCGCTGACACCAGGCCGATGCTCTTCACCTTAGCTGAGAAATGAAGCCTGTTGAAAATCATCCTGGTCTGTCTGAATATTGGGTTCTAGTTTCTGCGCTTATTACACTCTCGGATGACCAAACACCTTAGCTCACCCTATCTCTGAGGGACTGCCCTGTGGAGAGACCTCATTTAAACCGCTTGTATCAGAAATCTCCTTCTTTCAGTCACAATCTAGATTTCATGACCACAGATGAAGGTAGGAACATAGATTGACTGATGCAGCGTCCGCATTATAGCCACATAGATCCAAACAATGACAAACTATTTATGAGAGTATGTTGAACCTAGCCTTCCAAAATAAGGCTCCTTCCTTTTCGACAGCTACATTTTGACAGCTACAGAGCCTTGCCAAAATTTTCAGCCCCCTTAAACCTTTTGCCACATTTCAGGCTTCACACATAAAGATATAAAATTGTAAGATTTTTCAACAACAAGTGGGACACAATCATGAAGTGGAACATTATTTTTGGAAATTTACAACCTTTTTAACAAATAAAAAACTGGAAATTGGGTGTGCAAAATTATTCAGCCCCCTTAAATTTATTAGTAATTTGTTATGCCACTTTTTTTTACTGCGACTACAACTGCACGTCACTCAGGGTACTGTATGTCTCCATCAGTTTTAGACCAACATTTTCACCAATTCTTCCTGCATACAGCTGGAGCTTAAGCTTGCCCTTAAGTTGGGTTTACTTAAGATCAACCATGTTAAGGTCAGAGATAGAAAATATTACTTACTCATTGGCTGCACAGTTCACAGCACTCTTGCTTTGCAGCAATAATGTCCTGGGTTTAATCCGTTCCATGCAGGGTCTCCCCATGCATACATGGGTTTTCTCCGGGTACTCTTAGTCTCCTCCCACAGTCCAAATGCTTGACTGTTGGGTTAATTGGGTTCTCAGGATTTTCCTTGTGTGTGTACCTAGTGGTTTTATGTTTCTGTGCCTCTGTGTAAAATTCCCTAGCGAAAAAAAAAGAGAAAAGTGCATCTTTTGAAAATAAGAGAAATTTGGCTGTAAAGTTAAATTGAGTGTGTTTGTTTGTTCAATCACCCCTTCTTTGTTAGTAAAATCAACTTACATTTCATTGAGTGAAATTTACAAATAATTTCGATTTCTAAGTACTCCAAAATATTTTCAGTATAAACTATATTTACAGACACTGAAGGTCTTAAATGCAAAATAACAATATATATCTTGCAAAGATCTGGTTTAACTTTTAAAAAAAGGAATATTTCAGAGCTTAATCTCTAATTGATCACTAAATTACTTTAGTGAATAATTTAGACAACAGTAATTTTATTTTGATAATGAATCATGATTAATTCAATAAAATATTTTAGTGCTCATGTACCTTGTTTGACTAACTTTATAGTTAATTTAGAAAGCTTGTTCTTTACTTATTTGCCATGGTGTTGCTCTTTTAAAAGTTGTATGTCTTTGTCCTTATTGTTGAAACAGTGAGGAGGAGATGGAGGGGGCAAATCACACTGAAGCAAATGATAGCGACTATGATCCAAACAAAGATACCAAGAAAGAGGTGAGCCCAAAGGTTTTAGCTCTGGAAAATTATAAATATCATTCTTTTTTATATTTGTGTTTGTATTTACATGCAAAATTATAAATAAGTGTATCCAGAAATTATTCAAATCTTTGCACATTTTCCACATTTCAGACATAAAATCTGGAGAGTGGTGATAAAGGTTAGAATGAGGGTTCTGGAGATATGTTTCTCTGAAATATTTCTTACTATACTATACTAATGCTCCAATTATGTTAGAAGACAGTACACTGCAAAAACGATCTACAAAAAAGTCAGAATTTCTTAAATTATGTGTATTTACCATTAATCTGAGTAGGTAAATAAGATGATCTGCCAATTGAATTAGTATTTTTACTCTTAAAAAAGATAATTAGATACAGCAGTTCAATTGTTTTTTATTCTTATTTTAAATGTAAATAATCTTTTTGACTTATTTAGATTTGAATTTTTTTGCAGTGTATCGATTCAATAAAAAAAAAAAAAATAGAATGTATGGTAAATATTTATTGCATTATCAGGGATAGAAGTAAAAATGATCAGATTTACGCTAGTACTATAAAAAACTAACTGACCTGTATTGTTATTTTACTCTTTCCAAAGCCTCAAACTATATTATCCTAAGTTCAAGTTCAAGTTTATGTCTACAGCAAAATTTACAAGAATCCACAGAATGCCAAGGATACTGAATAACTAACACGCATGACTCCGGATGCCAAAACATCTAAAAAAAAAAATTAACAACAGCAGAGAAAATAATCACAAACAAAAAAGTGAGTAAAAGGAAAGGCATAAATAAAAAATAAAAAAACAAGGTATATGTAAGAACTCAAGGCAGGATGGAAGAAAGAGGCCATAAAGCTAAGAACATAGATAAAAATAGATTGTAAAAAGTTGAAATGAATATAAAAACTAGGAATAAATAGACAACAAACACTCTAAAAGCCTGAGTAAACATAAAGGTCTTCAGTGCTAACTCGAAGGTAGCAACAGAGTTGGCATATCTAATACACTGCAAAACTAATCTAGAAATAAGCCAACATTTCTTAAATTAATTAAAAGTATTTACCCTTAATTTGAGTAGGTAATAAGATGATCTGCCAATAGAATTAGATTTTTTTACTCTTAGAATTGGATAATTATATGACATGCACTTGAAATAAAACAATGCAATTGTGTGTTTTTTTTTAAATTAAAATTGTCTTGTTCCATTGGCACAGTAATTACTCTTACCTTCTTAATTCATGAACAAATGCACTTTTTTAAAAATAAATTACTTGTCTAGATTTTGACTTTTTCAAGTGGGATCTTATTCCTTAGGCGGGGGCAGCAACTGAAAAGGCTCTCCCATCCCTTGAAGTGCATTTAGCCCTTAGGATCACAAAGAGGAAGATCTTTGCGTCCTGGGTGGAGCGAGATGGGCCAGGCGCGTTAAGTAACGTGTGTCCCGATGTTTCTGCTGCTCCTGTGTTCAATGGCAGAGAGCGGCTTTGCTATATTTGCTGTGATCAGTGGGTAAAAAGTAGTTTGAATCTATTTTGAAGTCAGAAAGTCCTCCTGAAAACATTTTGCCTTCTCTGTGGGCCCCCCACATACCGGTGGGGCTCAGTCACTGGGAATCCCCAGCAGCAGCTGCCTCCGGCCACCAGCCTCTTTGGGATTTTCTACTACTTTCCATGGTGGCTGGAAGTAGATGTTGACTTTTTTGGGTATTTGGTACCAACTGCAGTCAACAGAATAAGAAAACTGAACATAGTTTGCTGACATTTTAACTTAATCAATATGGATGCATCAATAACCTTTTCTTTGAATATGAAAAAATCAACTTGCCTTTTATGTAAAGCTAGTAGAGTTTCACCTCATTTATATATTTTTGATTGCTTTATGCTGACACCTCTGTATCAGCAGTGCTGTGTGAGTCTCACTTTCAGCTCCCAGATCAGCTACTCTGGTTAATGTGATATGTTGAGCTGTAAAAATGTAAATATTCCAGCTCCAGCATCTTGTGAAGGGGTAGCACGCCTCAGATGCTCATGAGGTGCTACTCAGATGCTTTAAGATGCGCTACTCCGCATTGCAGGACCTTTTAATACACCTTGATGCACATCAACCATTGACTTTGCATGTAAACCTTCTGCTTCTGCTGCTCAAATCCTGTTCGGTGTGAATGTATCATAAGTGCTTTATATACTAGCCTCATTATCTTAAACCTGATCCTAAAACCTACCAGCGTTAGGATTAGATTGAAGCTCAGTCAGGATTGGGGTGATGTGCTCATGCCTGCCTCCACCATTTAGCTTACAGCAACATTTTGAGCTATTAGGAGCTGATGTAGGCACTGTATCGTATCACATTTATATCAAAACCTCAGAGAGCAAAATAAAAATACTGGCAGGTGTATTAAACTACTTTCACATATGAGTTCATCAACCATCACACTAAAAAATCCCACACTCACCGGGAACTGCTTTGATGGAGAAAAATTGCTTCGCGATAGCGCCCGTTCCTCCCATGCACTTTGTGACTCATTTCCCTCAAAGCAGGTGTTTTTTTTTACTTTATAACTGAGTCTCTCTTCCAGTCAGACCCATAGAATTGCAGCTGAATTGCCACATAGTCTGACAAAAAAGACTGATTTCTTTCACACTCAGAGCTACGCAATCCACTTGGCAGAATCGTATCAGTTGTATTCTTATGCAATGACTCTCAGTGAACACTAAATGCCGCAACATCGTATTACAAGATTATCCATCGGATTGGACACAAAATCCAGTTCCGACTCTTTGGGGCTTAAGACTTAGACAAGACTTAGACAAACTTTATTGTCATTTTGTATGCACAGCGTGTATACAAAACTACATTTCGTTTTGTACAGCTTGAGAGTAGTGAAACTTAATCATAAGGGTAATTATTTTACTCAACTAGAACTCTGTGGTCTGTCAGAAACCCAGTTTTGTCTGGTATCTCAATACCCAGCATGGCAACAATCTGAAGATCCAATTTAGGACAGTTCTGGGAAAGACATCCCCGATTGGAATCAGCTCCAGAGCACTTTTAACCTCAGACTGTGGCGAAAACCCTAAGTACACAGCCAAGATCTCAAAGGAGTGGGAACCACTCTGTTAATGCCATGGAGTGGTCAAGCCAGAGTCCAGAGTTGAATCCAGTTCAACATCTGGAGAGATCTAAAAATAACTGAACACATATCTCCTATCCAACCTGATGGAGTTTGGGATGTTTTGCAAAATGCTAAGTTCAATGTATCAGATTTAAAAAGGCTGAGGCTGGAACTGTTGCCAAAGGTGGATCAGCAACGTATTAAATAAAAGCTGTGAATAGTTTGAGAAATATGTTTTATGATTTCTCTCATGTTGGGTCTAAGGAGCTCAACCCAAATGCAGAACACCACGGAGACAGAATAAAAGTTAACAACTGTTTATTGAGAGTAGGCACAATAAAGTTATTTGCACTGATACAGGAACGGGTCCGGGACTGGAATCACAGGGCTCTCTGCAGAGAGGGACAGTTTGATTAGCCAAGTAGCAGAGGAGTCTTGACAGAGCTTGTAATTGATCTGTACCTGATGGTAGTTCAGACTGAGCGTTGGAGAGAGGGAACCAGAAGGGTCCAGAGACTGAGGGTTCAGCAGAGGGTTTAGCAGCGGCAGAGCTTGACTTCAGACTTGAGAGGTTCAGACCTTGAGTTGATCTCCTAGTTCTCTTCTGAGAACTAGCTTGCAGATAAAGACTGTTGATCTTCAGGTTTGGCTTCACAGAGCAGGCAGGCAGGTCTTTGAATGTGAGCTCCTCCAGAGCTCCTGAGTCAATAAGGTCTTCCTAGGAAGGCAGAGAGGACAAAGGCAGGTTAGAATCAGATTGGCTTTCAGAATAGTCAGAGATTCAGGCAACAGGTTTGGCTCAGGCTTGCTAACCATAACTGTTTAACACTCTGGCACTGAAGGGAAGTTCAGCCGCTGCTTATAAAGCTGGTCTCCTGATGAGATGATCAGCCTCAGGTGTGCTTGTGGCTTCAGCTCAGGAGACCCAGGGACGCCCTCAGATCTCCAGATCCCAACAATTTCTTTAACTGTAATAGTTTTCAGTAGTCTAAAGAAATCGCATTGACACAATTGAGGTATTGTGTGTAAAATGTTAAGGAATAGATTTACTTGGAATAAAGTTGAAAATTTACTGAATGTGGAAAAAATGCAGTGTTCTATATATTTTCAACAATGTATAAGTTGTGTCAGCAAAGTAAGGCAATTCCAGGTTGAGGACCTATGTCTTAGACATTTCTTTTTATATATTTATATATATATATAATATATATATTTTTTGGTAATATATTTATATATACTACATATATATATATATATATATATATATATATATATATATATATATATATATATATATATATATACATATTATTTATGTATATATATACATATATATATACATATATATATATATATATATATATATATATATATATATATATATATATATATATATATATATATATATATATATATATATATATATATATATATATATATGTATATATATATATATATATATATATATATATATATATATATATATATATATGCATATGTATATGTGTTGACAAATTACTTCATAAGAAAAAATATAGTTTCACTGTCATGGTTTTCATATTTTTATTTTTATAACAATAAAAATAAAAAAAATGCAACAATTGAGGAAAGCAGAAAAAAAACAAAGGTCAGGGAAATTATCAAAGTAATGGTTACATTACACTGATTACCATTTACACTTTAGGATGGTACTATCTGTCTATCAAGGCACGGGTGGCATAATAAAAAACTGAGCCTGTGTTGGCGTCAGACCTGGACTGAGAAAAATGGTCTTAGAACCTGCTGCCCTTTTAGGGGAGCCCTTAACATCGTACCGCATTCTCTCCAAATGAAGAATCTCAGTAAAATCACTAACCCACATTTTGAACTGAGGAACCTTGTCAGTTTTCCACAATCTTAATATTACTTTTTTAGCTATTACCATCCATACGCCACAGTTGTTTGTATTGCAGTCCTGAGGTACCAAAAAATGTAGTCTGGGGTCTGGAATCAAGGCCCATTTATACACTTCAGAAACACATTTGAAAATGTTGCACCGATATTGGTAGAGCTGGGAGCATGACCAGAACAGATGTGTCAAGGAGTCATCAGCGGACTTACATCTGTCACATTTTGGAGATATTGAGGGGAATATTCTGTTCTATTTTGTTATCGAATTGTGAAGACTGTGAAACACCTTGAACTAAACTGTACATTGATAGAGCTTGACTGAATCCTCCCCGGACCCTCCTTCCAGACCTCAATCCCAATCCGCAGTCTAATTTGCAAATATCTAAAGGGAGAAGTGGTCCCTCAGAAATGCCAATTAAGTAAACTTTTTGTCAATGTACAAATTTTTCAGTGTAGTTAGGCCTTTTAGTCTCCAATTCTTTATTTTATATCAGATAGTGATGATTGTTGTACTTCGTATGTGGCCCACCCAGATAATGTTGCTTACGGGCCTATTGTTGTGTCGTTACGCCATTGAGCAGTGTAATCCCAATCCCCCCATCTCTCTTGGTTTCTGTAAATGATATTCTATGTGCTGTAAAACCCCAGAGAAAAGGCTAAACTAATGAGTCCAGCAATTATAAAAAAAAAAAAAAACCCTTGCTGAAAATATAGGCAGACCCTGAAAAAGATAATAAAATTTAGGCAAGGACACATTTTTAATGGAGTTTATGTGGCCCATCATTTAGAGTGGGAGAATTCTCCATCAATATCTTTCCGAAGATTATCTGCTTTTACTAAAAAGTTAAATTTGAAAATTTGTTTGGGGTCATTCGGCAAAAATAACTTCTTGATATTTCAGTTTTTGTCTTTGATGTTTTTATATGACACACAAAAAAAAAATGAAGAAACTCATTGCTTTCATACAGCCACTTGCCAATCGGCATCCAAAGCTCATCTTAAAAGGCTTCCGATACGCACCTGTCTGCTCCTGTGCATAGGCGGTGGATGCGCTGTGACTTCTTTCAGATGACCCCGTTTCAACCCACCTTCAGCCCCTCCTCCACCATCTGAGCTAAAGCTTCATTAGAGTGTCATTCCACCTCTTACTTTGTTCCCTTTTCATCTTAAAGGGGAACGCTGTTTTTTTTACATTGGGCTCCTTGATTTCACGTTATTACATCATCTTCTACTCACCCATATTAGTTTTATGTGTTTTGGAGCAGTTCTGAATATATTCCATTAGGTTATATTCAAGTAACATTTTCCTGTGGGCAACGACTTGAAGGCACAAACTAAACTGTTCATAGTTTATTCTTTATCGTACGCCAGCATTCATTACATGTAGGCCAATCACTGTCCCCCAGACATCCACGGTTATATTTTTTTATATTTTTATCTTTTAAAAACAAAGCGGCGTGTGTATGACGTCATCCACGCGCGCCGGCTAGATGTCTAGTGCTACTACCACAGAGGATCTCGCTCTCCAAATGGAATTGAATGATCCAGATTACCAAGCTGAATGTATAGAAGGGGTAAAGTTTCCTGTTACGACTCCAGACTGCATGCGCGGATGGTGCTATACTGTTTTTCCTCTCTACTGATGCTCCATGCTTGCTCTTGCTCTTTTTTGCCAAAATCAACAATCTTTTGTTAATACACACATTTAAGAAGCATTTATTAATGGGCACATACTTGAGGAAATGTACAACATTAGGCTTTTGTATGTAATCATTTAAATACATTTCGTCTGTATTGGTAGTTGATTGTCCATTATTTCAATTTATTTATTTGCTAATAGCTCTACTGGCATTTGCTTCCTTCAGAACATGTCCGAGCTGGCTGTTTGCTCCAAGGCAGCTTTAGGGCGACGTGAGCACCAGACCCTGCAGCACCGACATCACCAGCGCTCCCGTTGCCGCCCCCCCAAAGGCATGTACCTTACGCAAGAGGACGTAGTGGCTGTATCCTGTAGTGCTTCTGCTGCTAACACACTCCTTCGTCAGCTGGACATGGAGCTGGTGTCCCTTAAGAGACAGGTAGAAGGCGCTGCAACAAACCTTGTTTTCTCACTGACTCCTCACAAACCCTTTACTGGCTAAAATATCAGCCAGAGGGATAAAAGTCACAACAGTGAAGGAAAAAATAATGGAGAATAAATTGAAATTAAAGGAATTTAAAACAAAAACATCTATAAATCAAAACATGAAAGTCAATAACAGAAAGGATATTCCAAAGTTTAGAACATATCACAGGTAAGGCTCTGTCTCCCTGACAACTAAGCCCAGACCTGGGAACAGACAGCCTTCATTGTAGCGTATACCTCATGGTTCTTTTCAAGCAGAAAGAGAGAGCAGAATACACCAGATACCAAAACACGAGGGAATCAATGTTGAAACGGAAAGTATGTTAAGCAAAAATGTTGAATCTATGCTGAAGGCACAAGCAATTATACAAAAAGCAGTCAGTGACTTGCATCTTGTCTCGTTTTTCTTTCTGCTAGTTTTTGTTTTTGGTTGCCATTTATTTCTAGTTTGTTAAGTTGCCCAAAAAAAAAAAATGGAAGGAGAAATGCATCTTTCACATAGGAGAAAAAAGAGAGACATGGAAACATTGTGATTCCATACAGTAGATTATGAGAAGCATAATTTCAAACCCAACAAGATACTCTGACAAAAACGGATTAATCCCAAAGACAGAAGACCCAAAGCAAAGCTGAGCAGTTTTGTTTATCCTGTTCAGCTTAAACAACGCTGACTAGAAACCAAACGACTACACAAATGCAGGATGCAGCACAGACAGCCAGTAGCTCTTGACAAGATTCCAATGGACACTTCGTCAAGAACAAAGGACACATCCTCCAAAATGTCCAGATCTTGGGCAGATGTTTGAATAGGGGGTGGTAGTACGCCATCTTTGTTTAAATACAGATAACAACAGCTGACAGAACTGACAACCAATCCTGAATTTGAGACAAGACGTCTCTAGAAAAACTGAGCAAATATCTGGTTGCCTCCCATTTAAGCTTGTTTTGACATACATTTTGAATCATCACAAGGTTTTCAGTCATAGCTCATACTATATCAATGTTGATTCAACCATTTACTAAATTTGGATCTACATGTACATGTATGTTGATTTGATAAAATATTTTACTTTCCCAAAGCCACAGTGAATAATACATTACCATATGTGTGAACACAGACTAAAAAAATAAAATAGCATGAATATTGAATTTTATTTAGGAAAATTTTCATAGGTTTAGAGAGCCAGCTATCTGTTCCCTAGCAACAGGTATGCGTGACATAGCAACAAATATTGATTATGATAGCAGGTCTATACCATATGCTTTTTGTAGAGATTAAAATAACCAAATAATGCAACTGACAGCACAAGGTTCATGTCTGGGTCTTAAAATGTCTCCATTGAGTTGAGAGATCTCTACAATCTTTGTGTTTCCTTCTTTCAAGAAGGTGGGGGTCTTACTGGCCTCATTATAAATGAACCATTCACCGGGCAAAGGTGTCCACAATATTAACTGGGAAACTGTCCAAAACAGGTTGTAAACAAGCCAACAACAATCTGATCTCTGATTATACCTACTCCTGAGCAGGTCTGAAAAAGCTGGTGCCTGTACTGAAAAAGCAGTGAAATTGATGGGGTGAAGTGGAGCCATGCAGAGTGGAGCCCCTGAGACACAGTCTAGACTTTTTCCATCTCCTCTCAGCACAGCTGCATTTATATCCAATGGCTTTAGTTAAGGCTAGATAGCAAGACTGCACAGGCAAAATATTGGTGAAGGCAGAATTAGGCAGATCTGTAACAAAGTACAAATACTTAAGTACACTTTTTTAGGTATCTATACTTTTCTGCATTACTTATTTTTGACTTCTTTTCTGACTTCTACTCATTACATTTTCACAAAAGTATCTGTACTTTCTATTCCTTACATTTTTAAAACAAACGTTACTCGTAACTCTTGGCTTCGGTTTAATGCAGAGGTCAGGGATTAGCGGACCGCGGTCCGGATCCAGACCCACCTGCTGGCTAATCCGGACGCAACCTGTTTTAAAACATTTATAAATTACTGCATGTTGTCCGACGACAGTGTCTAAAAGTCACTTGCGCCACTTTTCCTGTTATCCTGAAATCCCACATCCTCCGCTCCTCCCCGCTGCGCTAAGGGGTGTAAATAATAATCATTTTGTATCGATGCATCGATCAACGGCCGATGATCCGATGCATCGACACATCCGCAAGAGTATCTATTCATGATATTTTTTTTCCTCCGGTGTATTTTTATCCATTTGCTCCTGGACGTATTTCTCCCTCCTGTGCTGCGGTGGCGCTAAATCTATTTTGCCCTCCTACCTCGCTTCCTGGTTATACTCTTACAGCAGTGTGATGCAGTGAGCTTGACACAGATATTTTTGATTTATGCTCAATGTGGAAGCATGGTCTGTGCTACACACTGTGGGTCTAGATACTCGCCCCCACTTCCTCACCGCTTCGGCGGTGAGGAAGTGGGGGCCAAAAAGAGCGGAGATCCAGGTGGAAAAAGAGTCCCAGCTTTCTCGCGCACCTCGCTGTTTTAGCTGGTCCAACTTCAAGAGTTGTTTTCCGCAATTTCGGTCATAAAAACAAAATAAGCCGGCCTCCTGTCTGCGGTCAGCTGCAATTTGGGAGAGGAGCAGCGGAGCGTCTGTGGAGGGGGCGGGGACATCTGGAGCCGAGATATTGCATTGCACTCATTGCACTGATTTTGTGCAGTATTTTTTGATGCAAAGCCTTTCAAAATCTATAACGCAGGGGTATTATTACTTTTCAGTGAATGAGGTTTTAATAATGATATTATATTATAATGATAACGATATTACAGCTTTCATTGATTTATTTCAAATTTGACACATTGGCTAGCCTTTAAGGTGTAAAAAAAAAAAAAATAATAATAATAATTATTCGAATAGAATTGTATCGTGGTGTATTCTTGAGTATCGAAATTAATTGAATCGTTGGGTCAGGAAATTGATACTGAATCGAATTGCCATGATGGATGTGATTTACACCCCTAGCTGCCCTCCAGACCTCCTGCAAAGCAAAGCCTACAGCCTCAGCTGTTCCTCCTGTATTGCTGCTCTGACTTCCTCTGAGCTTTAGGAGAGCATGTGTGATATTATCATTAAATTCGTAGGAGCAAAACTTGCAGAAATGAACGCTTAATTTAATGATATATGAAAGAAATCCCCATCAGGATCCAGCATATGTGCGGTTTCTGACGGAGATGAGTAGTAGCAATAGTTTGCATCCAATCTTTTAAATAAACTGTGTTAGTTTTTTTGGAATTCATAAGAATTATGCTGTAATCTGTAATTACCGATCTGTTGTCACTATATTTTAATCCGACAAACCAGATCTTCTCGCTGTTCTTTCTCCTGTTTGGTGCGATTGCAATAGAGGATCTTTGACCTGAACGGACCTGAGTGGAGCCTGAACATTTAGAGGATGTTTGGCTCAACCTGCTGCTGTGAAGCAGGATTATCCACCATGAACAGAATCTAAATAAATCTGGATCCAAGCTCAAAATGAGCATCTTGATATGTGCTTGAGAATGGCTTAGTCTCCATTCAAACCCAGGTTTAAAGCCTTGCAGGGCAGCATAAAGCCCACTGCCAACATTAAGACAGAAAAAAGAAAGAAAAAAAACAACTGTTCAGGTGTTTTAAAAAAAAATACAATGCCACCGTTTTTGGCATTTACTTAATCATATTTAGTTACTTTAACACAATTATTTTATGGCCTAACCTGCTAACATGAAACAATTGTGTTAAAGTAACTAAATATGATTAAGTAAATGCCAAAAATGGTTGCATTGTTTTTCAGTGTATGTTAATCAGGAAATTGGCTATATACCAAACTGAAAGATTGTTGTTCTCTACTTCAAAAACACTTTAGATTTTAAAATGGAAAAAGGTTTAAAATAATTTTTTATTTAAAGATTCAATGTATAACATGAATGCTTAAACACCTCATTTTATTTAAGTGTTAAATTATGTTTAAAGTAACAGATCATTAAAAATGTCTCCGGACCTTTACTGGTTGATGAATTTGGTTCAGACCCTGCTGATTGTTAATTGGTTCCCCCTGGTTTTAATTTTATAAATATTTATTTCCCATCATGTGCTCCATCCAATACAGATCATTGGCTCCATCCACATCTAGTGAAAACTAGAGTCATTGGATGAGTCATATAATGCAAACACTCATTGGTTAGCTAAAGGAAATCATCAGAAACAAGCAGGTGTTCTTCAAACTGCTAACGTGAATTGTCTATGCCATGCTACAATGTGGGATTCAGAAAAAGATGTTGAAATGTCTGAAAGGTCGGACACAGGCGAGAGCGTATCGGGAGACGGAGACCAACCAGACCTCCCTCATCCTTGGCCCTATCTCAGAGAATTTATAGAAATAGTTGAAAAATTGAGCTTTCAGTTCAAATAGTGAGATCTGGCTGCTTTTTTAAAGGTTACTTTATACTTTTATATTTTAAGTAGTTTTCTGAACACATACTTTTTCACTTTTACTTGAGTAAAGAGGTCAAGTTGATACTTCAACTTTTACCAGAGTGTTTTCAAACTGCAGTATCTATACTTCTACTTAAGTTACAAATGTGTGTACCTTTGACACCACTTTCCAAGCCTAGAGGAAGCACCATTGCAGGTGTTATTCATGAACAGGGCAGACACCCACTGCTTTAAATTTTCTAAAACAGATTCAAGTTATCGACCACAGGTATAGATTTTGAAAAGGATGGATAGCAACACCACAGTTGATTAAAAAAATTGCTCAGTCTATAATTTATTCCAGGTATGAAATCAGAAAATATAAGCATAAAGTCCTTATAACTTTAGAACTATAAATACGTACACATGGCCCATTACTGCTTGATTCAATTCATTAAGCTAGAGTTGCAAGCTGGAGAGCTTGGAACTCGAGCTTGACCGCAGTTTGAAATAGTTGGACCAGCTAGAAGTGCAGGGTGCACGAGAACGCTGGGACCCTTTTTCCACCTGGATCCCAGCTCTTTTTCAGCGTCATGTCCCTCCGTTGTCGGACAAAC